GCCCTGTCGCCTTCCTAGCAAAGACACTCTTCAGCCGGAAGCGGCTACCTTTGCTCAGTGTTGGTAAAGATGGCTGGGATGGCTCCCAGTGGCTGCCAATGTTAGAAGGCGCGTTCGTGATACCCCGCAGGGTTCGTGCACTGCGGGGGATCTTTCGTTTGAAGCTCTGAGAGGCTCAAGAGCAAGAGACGGTCCTATGAAGTCTTATGGGTTTGTCTGAGATGAGGTCGAAAACCACCTGGAGGGGGTAGGAGAATTCTTGACAGTTGCTGGTCGTGCAGAGCCTTGAGTTCCAGTGAGGCCGTGTTCAGTCATGTGGCATGTTGGCAGCTGCCTGCAATTCTTGAAGTTGTGGTTGACGGCTCTCTATCATCCGGGACAGTACGATGTTTACGCTTTTGGAGTAGGAGCTGCTGGGTGGAATGCTCTTCCACCGTGAAATTGCCTTACAGGGCAGGTCGCCAACATGCGATCTTGGACTCCTGGCGTCACAAGCCAGGGACAAGTTTCCGAGCCCGGGTGCAACTTTGCTGGCTTCAGCCATGCACCCGGTGCGATGCTTCTGAGACGAAGGCCCTTCCCTCTCGAGGGGACACGCTGTGACCATCGTTTGCGCTCTGCACGTAGCGCACAGAATTTGCAATCGTGTTGAGAGATATATGTTTTTCAAGTCGCATCGTAGAAGCGGGCCTGAGGTACTTGGCAGAGCATTGTGAGCTATGTCGCACAAGTAATGACTGGTTTGAGTCCTGACCTCGAGCCTCGCTTGCGCTCTTCGCTAGTGCGATGTGGCATCTTCCAAATAAGCAGCTAAATTTGTGCAGTTTACAGCTCCGGCCTGTGGTGAGACTAGCGGCGTGTATGTGCTAGGAGACACCGGATCTGTTGGTGTCAGTGGACTGCTAACACATTCGTTTGATTCAACTGCATGTGGTCACACAGCACGTCATGGTCACTGCACCTTCCAAATTCCAGATGGCCCGGGTGGCGTTGCTCCGTTGTGATTGGCTGCAGGTGTTGGCAAATCGTTGTAGCTCCAGGTTTGGGCCATAATAAACCAAATTCTAGCATGTTTCTGTTCCAGCTGCTTCAGTTGCGGGCTATGTTACCATCCAGGACGGATGCGTGTATCGGATGTTCGTCGTGCAAGTGAGAGCTCTTCTGTGGATCTGCGACCGGAGGAGGAAGCTGGCGTAATGCCGTGTTAACTATCCCACATAGCTGCATAGCATACAGGGAAGAGCGTCGTCAACTAAACTTCACGTGGTGCAGGGCCGTACTCCAAAAGCAGAACGATTGTGTCTTCTCCGGCTGCAGAGATTCCTAAAGTAGAGCAGCGCACAGCGGCGTCCAATCAGGGGTTTGGCATCCCTTGTGATTGGGTTTGAGCGCGAGGTGAAGTCCCGATGGTGTTACTGCACGATCTACCCATGTAACCACAAGACACTGTCATCAATCTCTGTTTGGGCAGCGGTACATATCCAGAGTGAGTAGCTAGATTTCCGGATAATACGTCGCACGCAGACACACAACTCGAGCGCAAGCACGTCAAGACATTAACACACACACACACACATTCCACACAGGTAGGCGGTGCGCCTTATGGCGCAGTTGTAGACTGTTGCATGCACGCTCACCCACCCACCCACCCACCCACCCACCCACCCACCCGATAAATAAATAAATATATATATATATATATGTATATGTATATGTATGTACCTACACACACACACACATATATATATATATATATACATACATACATACATACATACATACATACATACATACATACATACATATATATATATATATATACGGCATATATATATATATATATATATACACCTATACATAGGTGCAAACGTATATTACATATGCACATTATATATATATATATGTGTATATACAAATATATATGTAGAGTATACCTATGCCATGCATGTGAATGCATACACATGCAGATCGTGTCTGTCTGTCGCTTTGTTTAGGTGTCTATATGCCTGCACGGAGATAAGGTATAAATAGATCGACAGAGGACTGAATGCAGGCGTAGGTAAGCAAATATAGATACATCTCTGCACATCCATCGACATCTGTCCGTCTCTGGATCTGCGCATTTCCTTTTTCTGCCTGCCTTGCTATCCGCAGATGTGTCAGCCAGTCAGTCAGTCTATGTGTTTGTCTGCACGTTCGCGGATATGCCAGCGTATCTGTCTATGTATAGATAAGCAATTTACCGTGCTGTACGTACCAATACGTTGGTATGCACACCTACGTGTCTATACATGCACGCATGCCATGCAAAGGATGTACACGTGTAGAAAGTACGATACATACGTCTACGGTTTTACTTAACCAGACAGGTACATATTAGGTTGAACATGGACATATCTATCCATGTACATCTACCTGCCTGCCTGCCTGCCTCCCGCCACCTGCCTACCTGCCTGCCTGCCACCTGCCTACCTACCCACCTACTGACTTACCGACCCACCGACAATCCGACCTTCCGACCTTCCGACCTATGCACCTAAACACCTACGCACCTGCCCACCTACCTACTTGTCTGTCTATCTTATCTGTCTAACCTATCTAGCCTGTGTAATCTATCTAGTCTGTGTAATCTACCCATCTGTGCACACGTATTTTTGTATCTGCAGCTGCAAAGCCGGAAATCTAACACCAGAAGGGGATCCAACCTCGCTACGTTCTTCCCTGCGTTTGGTGAGGGAATCCGTTTGGTGCGCGCTCTGATGGGGCCTGGCCTGGTTTGACATCAGGAGGTCATCACCTGTTTGAGGACTTGCGGCTGCCTGGGAAGAGACGTGCTCGCACTGGCTTGTCCCCAGGGCACTGTGCAACATGTGAACTGATTCGTTTGGGGTGATAAGTCTTCGCACGGACAGAGTTTACCGATATACCAGAAACAGTGCTCGGAAGCCAAGTCATGCGGTCTGTCGCAACATTTGAGATTTGACAGATGGATCGTGCCTCTGCAGCTCAGTGGTGCAGTTGGGGGGCCGCCCTCATTGGGCACTTGGGCGCTTGGGCGCAGTAGGGGCATAAGCATGGTCCAACAGTGAAGTGGCCTTGCCTCGCATCCGAGCAGCGGAAGGTCCCTCCACAGCTCCCCCTGACACTGTGCTCGTAGCTCTGATAGCAACCTCATAGCATGTTCCTGACGGGTGCAGGAAGGTGGCAGCTAGTTTGCAGCTGATTTGCAAGACAGCTTAGAAGAATGATGGTAGAGTCAGTACAGTAGCGGCCTGAATCTAGAAAGATGGTCTTGCACCCGTTCCCTATGGAGGTTTCGACCCGGCCTGGGTAGCCGTTCACCCAGAGTGTCCTCGGACAGCTTCCTGGGATCCTGTGAATGTGAAGAGCTTAGGAGGCCCCTTTTTGGGTACCTCCGGGCTCTGCCAGGCAACAGACGCCTTTGGGCCCATGGAGGGCTCATGGATGTCCAAATTCATGGTAGGTCTGCCAACGACAACTGTCACTCTTATGAACTCTGAAGAGGACAGTTTGCAGAGGAAGGCGGCTAGGCACTGATCGCTGGTGGGTCGGCTCAGCCTTTAGACGACTGAGCCCGACTTGCCCTTTTCAGGGTACGACCCTCAACTGCTCGTGGATGCTCGTGGCCTCTTTTCATTCAAGACTGAACAGTGCGCACTTGATGTCATTGCCGAAGGAGCTGTCAGCGACAGCTTTGTGGGCAGATGGAAGTGCTCTGGAAGCTTTCAGCAAGCCTAGCTGTCGCCCTTCAGCTGTGCTGTTGGGGTGCAGTGATTGAGACTCACTGAAGGAGCCTGCATCATAAGATGTCACGTCATAGGTGCACACTTGAATTGCCAGATTCGTGTAAGTTAAACTTCCGTTGTAAGCCATCAACAGAAGCATCAACGCTCCTTGTGTATGTCGCGAATGCCTGATCCAACATAAAATTCGAGATTCAACAATAGATTCGAGCCATGGTAGCAAATCTTGCAGTGCTCTTGCGTGTTCTCCAGTCTCGATCTTTGATCAATTTTCCGAATTCTGCGACTGTCTTTCTCTGAACAGCGTGCGGGTCAACTTGTTTATTCCAGCGTGTGCAGATGTAAGCATGGCTCTGCGCGAATGGATTGCAGAGGAAGACGGGCACTTACAGCTGCAGCTCGCAGTTTGCCGCGGTTTCAACATATTTAAACGTGGCACCGGTGCTGCAAGGAGACTCGGCCCGGGCACAGATATCAATCACATCGCATTGAGTACCCGACGACACTGTCAAAGCCGGAGGCGATTCTGTTGTCACAGCTTGTCCCTTCAACAAGCCGTCTGAGCCACAAGCCGTTTGAGCCAACCCGGAAGCCCAAGTGTTGCTGGTGGCCAGTCTAGCAGGGAACCAACAACGCATGCCTGCTCCAGACAAGATCTCTGGTGGAGAGGCTTCTCAAGCGAGCCTGCATCACGGATCGTTGATCAGTCAACAGCTGTCAATACCGCCCAGCCAGCGGAGATACCTGGCTTGAGCGCATCAAACTCCCATCCGGCCGCTAGCAAAGCATTCGTGCAGTTTGGCAACGCCTGGAAGCCCGGTCCTGCATACTGCACGATGGCAGTGTGGGTCCATGGCAAGAAATTGTAAATCACTGGCGGATTGAGAGGATGCACATTGTACATTCACTTTCCTGGGCGCAGATTGCTGCGCCTGTTATATGGTGAACATCACCCATGATCTTGTTGAAGTCGGATCTCTGGCAGCCTGAGCATTCCGGCAGTGAAGTGTAGCTGCCATACAGGAGACAGGAAGACAGTTTCGTATGCGCGGGCTGCATGAATGCACGAGGATTTGTATCTGGAGATTTTGGAAACCCGATCCACGTTCAACCCGGATGAAAAAGAGGAGCATAAGATCTACCGGGTGGATTTCTCTACGTAGCATGAATGTGGCATGTCCAGACTGCATGCCACACGTGGGGAATCGAGCCCTGAACTGTGGAAGATTCTGCCAGGTTCTGCAGCCTCCCCCACCGGTGCCGATGGGGCATCCAGCAGGTGGGACCAAGCCTCTTGCGGCCGACGGTGCAGCCTATGTGCTCTTGCTGGTTTTGTAGACAAGCTACTGACTTGGCCTAGCCTCGAGTTGGCTGTGAGGTCCACCGCCTGTCGTGCCCATGCCACCTCCGCGACAGGTGGTGCGCCTCCCAAGATCCCATGTTCTTGATCGCCGGAGAACAGCTCAGGGCGGCTGCGAACCCTGTCAAACGCTTTTTTTCGTGCATCCAGGCTCGATCCAAGCCTAGCTGACTTGTCTACTTTGCACTCAACCTCTCATGGAGAGCCATGAACCCCTTCAGCCTCGTGGCACAGCATTCTCCAGCCTAGTGCGCAGCAAAAAACAAGCCAACAACACCTTCGCAATCGATGCGACACCACCTCGACTCTCCAGTTCCTCCAGCCCCTCTATTTTCGCTTTGTAGTCTGGCTACCAGTCCAATGCTTTCATGATCGTTGCTCCGGCGGCGCTTAAACTGGCGCTGCCCGTGCCTGTGGCTAATGAGGAGTTAGAGAGTGACAAGCGTGCTAGCGCTCGCCGAAAGCACAGTGAGCTGGACTGCTGACCTCGCAATTTCCCTCCTGACCCAGGTTCCGCCAACTCATGGAGCGCATGCTACCGGCAAGCGCAGCATCTCGACAGCAAAAGGGGAGGCAGTGAGGGCAGAGTGACCGAGCAGAGGAAGCTTCACATCGGGTGGGTCGAAACTTCGTTTCCCAGGCCTGGGCAGTGCCGCGCCTCTCGCGGCTGCTGCAGCGGCAGCCCAGGTGACCCGGTGTCAAATTCGGGGAGACATGATATTGGTTGGGGAGACGACATGAGCGTTCCGATCCGCTTTCTACCAGCACCTGCAAAAGCTCAGGCATTGCGCCCACGCCCTGGGCGTCGGCGTTTGGCTTCTGCCTCGCAGGCTTGCTAAGACCATGTGCGCTGGACCGCATGGGAGCTGCAAGTCCGATATGGCCAGGGGGTCGCTGTGGAGTGGCAAACTCTACGGTCCCTTGACTTGCTATGTGAGAGTGTCACGAGCAGAAGCAAACTCCCCGTCACGTTTCAGCTACCAGATGCATGTTATGTGAATTAGCAGCATCAGGCTTGGGGAATGCACGTCGTTGCTGCGTTTGAAGCCTTTGAACTTCATGGCAGCCAAGCCAAGGTCACGCATCGTTGAGACTCCCACGGGAAAGGAGCCCAACATGGATTTCTCAAGTCTGCTCTGGGCCTTGGATCTTCATGGCATCTTGCGTATCTTGCGCTTTGCAGCCGGAGCGGTTGGCCAGGAGCTCGTCCAGGCGCAGGAAGATATCTCTGCAGGCCACTGAAGCCGGGTGACCAGGTAAGACCGGAAAGTCAGCTGTGTGGTGTCAGGCCTCCGATGCCATCCAGATGCCGAGGTGCATTGTACAAGGGTCCTCTCAGCAGCTGAGCATCTCGTCTTGCAGGTACGCTATTTCGGCTCCAGTCGACAAACACCTCGTGTGACCCAGTTGCAACATGTTGCAACATGCTCTAGGACTGTAGCGCGGGCACATAAGAGGAATTCAACATGGAACGTGAGCAGGTCACGTTCTATCGGGACTCGGCTGCGCTGTGTCCCCGCTGCCAGGCGTGTCGGACTGCGAACGCTTCTTCTTGTAAACGCAGAGTTCTGCGCTTCAAACAGCGTTGTCCCCGGAGGCAGTTTGGCTGCTCCTTGTGTCTTGGCGAGACATCTGGTGTTCAAGCAGTCGAGTCATGCGCCATGCTCGTGAGAAGGTGTTCCTGACCTGACTGTCGAAGGAAGCGAAGCGTATCGACTACATCGTGGTCAAGGAAAATCTTCCGTCATACGGGGAGAGAAGCGAGGCCTTTCTAAGGAAGGTACGCCGCAGCAACATCAAAGGGATGCATCAGAAGCATCTGTTGAAAGCTGCGAGTGGGCTTTTTTTCAGCAGGTTCCTCGTGGTGCTCTGCCTGCCGTTGAGATCGACGGTCGTTGGGCAACTGATAGCCTTGTCCCCTGCCTGCACGAAGTCAGAAGCTCGCGAACGCAACAACTGCTAGGAAGGTCGTGCTGACCAGTCCTGCTTTTTTGCGCATAGCACAGGATGCCATGTTCCTTTTGGAGCGCACCTTTCCAAATCCAGAGCGGCCGATGATCCCCGGCTTCTCGCGACTGCGGGCTCCTTGCCTGTCAAACGAGTCTCGCCGCCTTGCCCAACAGAATCTCCAGAGTCTGTGCACAGGGCCGGGCGATCGAGCTGCTAGAGCTGCAGCGAGCAGTTCACTCAGCCTGGTGTCGGGGCCTCACACCGGTACAGGGTAGCATGTAGCAAGATCTCAGAACAGATCTTGTTCCCAGGCAACTACCTCTTCCGCGCCGAGATGTCCTTTGTTAACGAGCCTGCTGTGGATTTCGCAGCTGCTTTGGGACAGGTCCAGACTGCCTTGGAAGCTCGGCAAAAGGGGCTCAGGCTCAGCTTTTGCAGGGTTTCTTCGGTGTTTGACACGAGGAGAGGGATGCAGACAATCCGTGGTTCCTGCCCTACGAGCATCCGACAATCGTGGATATCCAGTATGTCTGCACGCTGGAAAGAATAGTGGCAAGCGCTTTCTTCTACAAGGCCTAGCAAACTTCGTGGTCCAGGGGGTCACCTTCTCTAAAGTGTGGTGCAGGCCATGGATGTCCGTGCGGACTTTCCGGGAATCGACCGATGGCTCCGGGCCTTCGAGGATCCCTCTGACCGGAGAGTGAGAGAGTTGGATCTGACACGTCACCAGGAGCTCCCATGGTACCGGGCAACGCGAGGAGACTACTACAGGCTGGGCGCCCAAGTCACTCTGAGTCCCGCCCCTCCCGTGACCTGGCAGTCTCTGCATGGCCCTGGAGCCGGCCTATGGAGAGCCGCAGCCAGGCTGAGATTTGGGCGCGAAGCCGCGCTGTTGTTCTTGGGGTCTCAACGTCGAAAGAGTCGACAGCAAAGGCAACCTAGCCCGATGAGCAACTCGAGCCGGACGGATTGGAGAAAGCTATTGCCAGAGCCACTTGGATCGCATCCTAGCCAGAGAGCAAGCATCGCTTGGCAGAGCTTGTCGCATTCTCCGGAAGCCTCGCCAACTCTTCGAAAGCCGTTCGATGTGAGTGAATCCGAGGAACTACAGACTGCCTTTTGCATTGAGGCAGCATGGCTCGGGAATCGTCTTATCTATCAGGTGACACCAAGCAGCTAGCATGTAATGCATTTAGAGAGAGACCCGCCCAGAGCTGTAGTGTTCGTAGCAGCTGCCTGGGATGTCGTCTGACAGCTTTCAAGTCTTCTTAGCAATTAGATTGAGGACTGCTGCTTGGATAATTTGGGAAACGATCCTGCCCTTTGGGTTCTCGAGGAAGTTTCTACATGTCAGGCGTGATGTGGAACTGACGGCAGCCGAAACCTCTTCCATCCTACGGCGCCCCTTTGTGGAGGCTGCAATCCGTGGCGTTTAAGTGAAGAGAGGGTGTCCCTGTCCTTCTCTGACCCTAAAAGGCACAGTCTCGCTCTTGCTCTCGTGCCTTGCCTGGGCTGTGTCTTGTGCTCTCTCTCTCCCTCTCTCTCTCTCTCTCCATGCCCCCCAGGCTTTCTCCAATTTATTATTGTTTTTGTCACTTATCTTTATGGTCAATATGTGGTGTGTTGCCACGGCATCCTGGCAAGGCCGCTTGGAAGCTGGTGCAAAACCACGATGAGGTTGAGTCTCGTCAGCATGTCAGCATGTCAGTTGCGCTGCTCCCAGTTACTTTCCTTTTGCTCCTTTCCACTTTGCTGCCAATGCTTCTACTGCATTGGGCAGCCGCTCTTTCCAGGCGCGGTACTGCTGCCGAGCTGTGGGTGGCGAGGTGCCCTCAATTTGTTTAAATAGTGTCGTTTGCTTGCAGCTCCGTTGTGCAGCTGCGGCATAGAGGCCGGTGCTTTCGCCGCGCGGGCCCCGACACGCTCCAGACTCGCAGATCCCAAGGCGTCCCATCAGCAGAAGTGTTGTTCCCATCCGGCTTATCAAGCATGTTTTTCTGTATATTGCGACCACACTTGCTTTTCCGTTCCGCTTCCAGAGGATGACGGTGCTGATGATGATGTTGGTGATGCTGCTGC